TGTTTACCATCAAGTCCTGGAGAAAGGACGAAAGTTATACAGCTGCCCAGGACTTTCATTCATGGGGTCGCTATGAGTCACCTACGACTAGACGGCACTTAACAACAACACCATCACCAACAGCATAAAGAGAGAGCAGTTGGCCTAGCGGACAGAAAGTCATTCTCCCAAGCCAACGGCCAGTAATTCTACTCCACAGCCTTCAGGCATGCCTTTAATTGTTTTTGGTGAAACATTCTTCTAGGTTGTGTAACCCTGGTACGTCCATTTGCTGTACAGAGGTAACTTGTGGTCGTTGTGAAGCCGAACTCTGTAACACTGATGTGTCAAATGTGATAATGGTTGCTCATGGTGGACTGTTTTTGGTGGAACTCCCCGATTAAAACAAGCTTGGAAGCAGGAGTGGCACCAACTTCCAAAATAGCTCGCCACTCCCCATCACTCCTCCCTGAGAGAGACTTCAACCCGATTCATAAGAAAAAGGGGATGGCACATTCTCCCAGCCACTTCCCGCTGAAAAGGGACGCTGCGGGTTTCAGGGCGAAGATCCCCTCTCAGCACTCCAAAGGGCCCCCCTTGGCAGCAGGAAACACACAGACTATCATGGAGACTGATCAAGTGTAGTGTGTGTAGTTATCCTTCTGTTTTTACAATAATTGCCTTATGTGTTATTTGTCCTTATGAGACTCAGTTATTTTCCTCAAGATAATGTTCTCTAGACTCTTCCACATTATATAGTATTTTGAGAAATCTCTGTCTCTAGTATTGCATAGTATTCTATTATATAAATGCATTGCAATTTTCTAATCCATTAATTTATTAATGGACATTTGAGCTATTTTCATATTTTTCTATTGTGACTAATACTTCTATGGACATAGATGTAGGTGTATATTTCCCCATCATGGGTTTGGTGGAAATCACTAGGATAGCAGAGTTTAATGGGCAGATTGAGGGTAGGGTATAGGAATGAAAACGATTCAATTTGAACTTGACAAGATGGTGTAATAATAGGCATGGGACATTGGCAGTTAATTGTATGGGATATACTGTATATGAACGACTGAATGAAACAATCTAAATGACGTATTGTATGCAAAGCAACAAAAATCAGAAAAATATTATCTTTAAGATGTTTCATAATTAAATGTAAATTTATATATGATGAACTATTTTATTAGTCATATTTTCATTTTCTTGTACCAGGAATCACTTATAATTTTAAAAAGATTTAGAAAATTTTAAATTTTACTATTCTGTCTCCATACCTTTTCAATCAGATTATCCAGGAACAGGGGCTGTATGAGGAAGAATATAACATCGGGGTTTATGGAAGATTAATCAGCAAGCTGCTTATGCAGATAACACAACGCTGCTTGCTGATATTGAGGAGGACCTGAGGCGCTTGCTGCAGAAGGTCAAGGACTGCAGCCTTCAATATAGATTGAAGCTCAACATCAAGAAAATGAAGATTCTCACCAATGGGCCAATTGGTAGCATCAGTGTGGATGGTGAGAGATTGAGATAGTCAACAGTTTTAGTTTGCTTGGTTCAACAGTCAACACTGTTGGTACCAGTAGCTAGGAAATCAAGAGAAAAATTTCACTGGGAAT